ATCATACTGATATGTGCTTCGTTTCAGCCCCTGAATCCTCCCGAGAACCGCGAAAACACCGCAGAGATCATGTTCGAGTCGTTCAACTGTGCTGGTCTTTACATTGCCGTTCAAGCGGTGCTTGCCCTCGCTGCTTCATGGACGTCCTCTAAAGTGACCGATCGATCCCTTACTGGAACGGTCATTGACTCTGGTGATGGTGTGACCCATGTCATTCCGGTCGCGGAAGGCTACGTCATCGGGTCATCCATCAAGAGTATCCCAATCGCTGGTCGAGACATTACCTACTTCGTACAGAGCTTGCTGCGCGACCGAGGCGAGCCGGATAGCAGCTTGAAGACGGCAGAGCGGGTCAAGGAGGAGTACTGTTATGTGTGCCCTGACATCGTCAAGGAGTTTGCCCGCTATGACCGCGAGCCCGATCGGTTCCTGAAGCATACCGTGACCTCCCCTAACGGCCGGAGCGTGACAATTGACGTCGGCTACGAGCGCTTCCTTGCCCCAGAGATCTTCTTCAACCCTGAAATTTACTCTTCCGACTTCCTGACTCCCTTGCCGCAAGTCGTTGACGGCGTAATTCAGTCCTCGCCCATCGATGTCCGGAGAGGTCTCTACAAGAATATCGTCCTGTCCGGTGGATCGACCTTGTACAAGGACTTTGGCCGTCGTTTACAGCGCGATATCCGACACCTGGTAGATGCTCGTATTCGCGCCTCGGAAGCTCGCAGCGGTGGTGCTAAGAGCGGTGGTTTGGACGTGGCTGTTGTGACACACAAGAGACAGAGACACGGCCCTTGGTTTGGTGGTAGTCTGCTGGGACAGACCCCTGAGTTCCGGAGCTACTGCCACACCAAGGCAGAGTATGATGAGATTGGTCCCAGCATTGTCCGCCGATTTGCCCTCCTGGGTGGTCCCGGAAGCACCTAAGGTAAATCAACAACGGATTTAATTGCTTGAAACTTGTGTCTGCTAGCCCTGTGTCGATCCATGTCTATAGTTATTCTTCTGTCATGAAAATTTAGATCATTCTGCTTGACACGGCTGCCTTTACAGATTCAGGACGTTGAGGGACGACAAGGACGCTGCGTGCGCTGAAGTCTGACAGCCGAATGGCAATGTAAACAACAACCACAATGTACATATATGCAAATGGGACCAATGTCACCCGAAAGCCCGCTTGAACTTTTAGTTTCGCACCTTAACGCCGCCTAAACCGTGAGCATAGATGGGTAAAGTTACGCTGACATTTAATTACTTTTATATGGTACAAAAGATGCTAAGATGAAGTGACCGGCACCTTATTCAAAATGGCGACTCCCTCCACATGTCCCGTCTGCGGGAAGAAGTCAAATCCTCGAATACTCTCAATCTCATATCTCGAGTTCATATCCCCCTGAACCATGACCGCCACATCGCGCGCCTGAGTATGCACGTTGCAGCTGACATATACAACCCGCCGGGGACCGTAGGTCAGCAGTTGACGGAGGAAATCATCGCTGCACCCTTTACGCGGTGGGTCGATGACGAGTAGAGTCTGTTCGGGCGGATATGGGACGTTCTTGAAGAGGGTTGCGGCGTCTGCGGCGGCAAATCCGGTATTGGGGAGGTTGTTGGCGCGGGCGTTCTCGCGGGCGGACGCGATCGAGTCGGCCGCTACATCCACACCGAGGCTCGATTTGAAGAGAGGAGATAGGGTGATGGTGAAGAGACCGGAGCCGGAGTAGGCGTCGAGGAGGTACTTGATCGGCTTGGGATCTTGTTCGTTGCCTTTGGGGAACGCGTGTTGGCGGATGTACTCTGTGAAACCGGAGAGGATGGAGTTGTTGTTCTGGAAGAAAGCGCCGGCTTTGTTGGTGAAGATGTAGTCGTCGATGTATTCAACCGAGGTAGCGTTGTTGTCGGTCACGCATCGCTTCTCTTCGATGTAGTTATCGCGCTCTATGCGAATGACATCGCCGGACTCTGATTCCGGTGGGTTCTCGCCCTCTTTCTGTACGGCGCCGGCCTCTGCCTCGGCCGAGTCCTTCGGGATGCGCCTGGTAGACTCGCGCATCAGAAGCGTTGCACCCTTTTTAGTATATTTGTGGAGGTTGTCGGCTACCCTCTTCCTCTCGCTCCTGAGGCCCCGCCGAACAATGTCTGTCCCCAGCGGACAATCCTCAATGTCCACATCCATGCGCCGGTTCTTATATGTGAATCCGATTGGAGGGACTTCGGTTGGGACCTCACCGGACTTCCTTCTTTTAGCTGCGCTGTGACCACCAGGAGCTGTAAAGTGTGGTGTCAACTTGGTCCGGTATCCGTATTGCAAAGGCGAAGGGAAAGTGCCCTCAACGGCGGGGATCAGCTCGGGAATGAGCCCTGAGAAGTTGGCATAAGCTTTTTCGACAATACGCTTCTTGTGCGCCAGCTGGTCTTCGTAAGACATCATCTGCAGCTGACATCCGGAGCACCTGCCAAAGTACCCGCACCCGATTGCGGCATCGTTGCGCTGCGGCCCTGGCTCAAGCACCTTGATAAAGTCTGTCACACTGTGGGATAAAGGCTCATGATGCCGGACAACCTTGACAAGCACCTTGTCGCCTGGGACAGTGAACGGGACGACGTAGACATGATCCTTGTTTCCCGAGAGTGCGAGACCATCTCCAGTGGAAGATATATCTGACACTGTCACTTCGATCTCCGTGAAGAGCTCGGGTAATACGGGTGATGGAGTGGAAGCATCGTTTTCTGCCTCGGGTTTATGCTTCTGAAGAAGGTTATCAATGTCGGTCTGAAGGACTTCATCGAAACCGGAATTCTTCGTCCGATCGGCTCTGCCCTTCTTGCGCCGCTTCACGTCCGTCTGAGGTTTTCTGTTAGAACTCTGCATGGCGTTTATAGCCAATGGCGCATTGCGATGCGGCAAGATATGAGGGAAGAAGGCTTTCTTGGAATGCGCAAAACGACTAGGCTGCGTAGTAAAAAGGCGGTTCTTCAAAGACAGTGAGAAAACTGATCTCACAGCGAACATTAAGCCAGAACTCGTGAACAGAAACCGAGTAATCCGTCGAGAGCTGTAAAATAGTACACTGGATGGAGAGGTCCCAAAAAAATGGCGGAGAAAAAGAAGTCAGCGGAAAGAGCGGACGCGGATTGGCTGGAGGCTCTCCGCTGAGAATTTCACCGTCCCGTCGATTGTTCCCTTCTGCCATCTCTCACTTACTCCATCACGCGGCCCATCTATATCGCCAATACCGCGACATCCCCTCGTTCCTTGCCGGGGAGCTGCATTTCGTCACAATGAGTGTCGCCCGACCGGTTAGATGTCTGTTTTGCAGCTTCTCTCGGCCTGCCTCCGCGGTCCCTCGCGTGCCTCGCCGTCAATTCCATCCTTCCCCAGCGCAGCTCGCCAACCGGAAGCCGAAATTTCCCAATGTCAAGGCCGATAATTTGAAGTCCTTGGAGGAGATCTCCCGGTCCCTTAAGCCGGAGGATTTCAAGCCCTACACGGAAGAAGAGAAAGCAAGGCTGCAGGAGGAGTATACACCCGAGCAGATGGCCGCGATTGAAGCCGGTGAGGCGGCAATCGATCCCAAGGATCTAGCAGAGCAGTTTGCCATCCGTCGGGATCCGATGAAGTTTCACTACCTGGATGATTTCTCGACCATCGAACCTGGGGTAGACAAGCACGTCCGGGCGCCCGTGACCAATACCGATTACAATGCCGAACTGAAAAGCGAGAGCGACTTCGCAGAGGATTTTGGCCGTTTCCTTGCAGAGCTTCCCAGAGATCCCACCGCGGCCGACTGGGTACGGTTCGCGGAGACTCTCCGTATGACCCATGGCAAGGAGGAGAACGAGTTGAATCCCCACAGTGCTTTGGTTCCCGATCTGCTTGCTCCTGGAGAGTCCATCAGTGGGGAGCGGAAGGAGATCAATTTCTTCAAGGAGACAGACCCGAAGGCCAGAGAGTCTGAGGAGATTACAGATGCATTGAAGCAGCTCCTTTTGACTACCGGATATTCACAAAGGGAGATTCAGGATCTGAGGACGAAGACGCTCGTTTCCCACGCGGTTGTCAACCAGACCCGCTTGGGTAAGGTCCGTCGTCAGTACTGCTTGTCGATTGCTGGTAATGGCAACGGTTTGCTCGGAATTGGCGAAGCCAAATCAGAAGAACCGGCCGATGCTCAGACGCAGTCCAGATACAGAGCTATTCGAAACATGCAGCCCATTCCTCGTTACGAGGACCGGACCATCTTCGGGGATGTCGAGGGCAAGGTGGGAGCTGTTGAGTTGAAATTGATGACCCGCCCTCCAGGTAAGACATTTACCTTTTTTTATCAGTAGCGGACAGTAGCTGACGATTGCCGTACTAGGATTCGGTCTCCGTTGCCAGCATCTGATCTTTGAAATGTGCCGTGCATGTGGCATCCACGACCTTGCCGCTCGTGTGGCCCGCTCAAGGAATCCCATGAACACGGTCAAGGCCGCCTACGAGGCTTTGATGAGCCAGCGCAACCCGGAAGACATCGCTCGGGCCCGGGGCAAGAAGTTGGTCGATGTGCGCAAAGTCTACTACTCGGGAAGAGCCTAATCCATCTCCTGCAATTTCATTTGATGCACCACTATCTTCACCCACGAATGCTGTCTTTCTACTGGTTTGTGACACAGAGGGACATCTTGACGGGTCTTTATCATGCATAGAGTCGGCTGTATGATTATGGACACAATTTGAGCGGCATTCTCACTCAATGCTTGCTGCGTTACGGCGGTGTATATAATTGTTTTGGGCTTCCTTTACTCTCCATGTCTTCTTACCATGTACTTGTACCAAGCCACTGCCATATTATCAAAACCAGTCTATCCATGAGACTAAACTCCGTCTTGAACCCGTCCAATCTATGTAACAAACAACCCGCCATAACGCATCCAGAAAAAAAATCAGGGTAAACCAATGCAGTCCATGCACCCCATACAAACCCAAGCCCATGCCCATGCACATCCTATTCTGTCAATCACGCATACCTCCCCGTAAAACTAACATCCCCCTCATACCCCATCCCCTGCCCCTGGAACTGCTCATCTTGCCCCTCCTCGTACTGCTGTTGCTGTTGTTGCTCCTGATGCTGCTGTTCCTCGCTCTCATTGATCATCTGCTGCTGCAACACAATACTATACACACTCGCCTTGAGCAGTGTACACACCGTCGCAGTCTTGCGCTCCAGCAGCCTCAACCCATCAAGCGTCAACGAGGTCGGATCCCCCGCTAGCCCGGCCAGTTTATCTGATAACTTTTCCCCCCACCATCGTTAGTATCACGCGTTCAGACTTGTAGTACGTAGCTAGCTAGCTAGCTAGTGGCGGTTCGTGCATGGGGATGAGGCGTAAGCGTAGGCGGAGAGCCTGCGTACCTTGTTCACATTCCCCAGGAGCCGGGTATACTCGTCCAGGACTTCCTGCTCGAGATCCGAGACGAGGGGGTTCGAGGCGCGCAGGAGAGGGTTTTCGGTTGTTATTGGGGAGGAGGGAGCGCAGTCGCAGCAGTCGCGGCTGGCGGCGGAGGCGGGGTCTTCGTCGAAGGAGAACATGTCAACTTGCGAGGGTGTGGTGGTTCTGTTCCTGGCGGATAAGGAGAGCTGATATTGGGATTCGGTCTCGTTGGATGTTCTGGTTATCGGACCTGCTTGATGTCGAGGCCTCGACGAGGGGGTCTGCTCTTGTTTGTTTGACTTTGGTAGGATTGTTTGTTTGGGTCTTTGGGTCGCGGCAGGTTTCCTATGAACTAGTAGATCATCCAAGTCAGTCAGGAAACACCACATCATGTATTTACTGCATAATGTTTAACTTAAAATCTCAAATATGGATCACGGATATTCTACACAGACTTCTATTGCTGTTAATCTTCTGAAATCAAGAAATGCTAGAATCCATTCAGTGACCGCTTGGGTACTCCCATGTTATGAGGCCAGTCCAGCTCCTCCTATGGACAGTCACAACACTCGTTTTTGCAGGAAGAACAGATACATGAACACGAAATAGTCAAATAATCCACGCCCGAGTAATTAGTACACTCGACGCTGACCTCCAATGACGGGATGGATCAGAACTGGTCCGCTAATATAATTGAAATCGAAAAACGCCGTCTTCTGCAATAGTGACAGTAACGGAAAGAGAAGATGGAACTGTCGCGTCGTGGAATCGAAAAGAATATGAGAAAGCCGAAATCGCCCACAAAGCATAGCACGTCCGAAGACAGGACTCGCACTGTCCTAGAAAACCGAAAGAAAGCCCACAATCGCCCTGACCAAAGCAGAATGTAAGAATAAAACCAGTGGGATAGCTCTAGACACGCCAAACTCCAAGTTAATACGTGCAACAGAATATCAACGTTCGAACACAGATCTTCATGCCGTCATGATCATGAAAGTAACCTCACGTCAGAGGTCTGAAAGCGCCGCTAGGCAGTCTTGTTTTGTCGCAGGAGGCCCAAAAAAAAAAGCGTATAGTTGTTGTTGCGAGCTCATGGATCAACCAGCTAAAAGTCTCCGTCATGATGAAGCGTAACACTATTGAACTCCTCGAAAGGATCAGCCACCTCTCCGTTGGGAGTGGCAAGACCGGATTCTAGAGGGACGCCCTTGGGCTTCGAAGTCCCGCCAATATCGACACTTGCGCTCTCCTTGACATTACGGAAATTCGCCGTGTCCGTTCCGCGACTCTGGTGTGGAATCATGGGCGGTTTCATATGGCGGATGAGCGCCCATTGCGTCTGCCGGAAGAAAGGATGAGTCTTGACATCCGACGCCCCAGCTCGAGCGCCAAGACGCTTGGTTTCATCCTTGATCAGCAACTTGCGAATCAGGGACTTGCATAAACTGCGGATGAAAATGTCAGTTTGGATGAATGAGAGCAAGGCTCGACGGCAGACTTACTTCGAGATCTGCTGCACCCCCGCATGCTCTGGGAATTGCACTTCGTCCCTTAGGATGTTTCCAAACGTTGCATTCCTATTCTTGCCCTTGAAGGGCGTGGTCCCGTAAAGCATCTCGTAGATCAAGATGCCCAGAGTCCACCAATCGACCGCGCTGGTATGTCCGCAACCCTTGATGACCTCCGGGGCAATGTACTCTTCGGTGCCAACAAACGAGTTTGTTCGGAAGTCAGCAATACATGACTTGGTGTCAATGGTGGGTAACGACGTGGCGGAGTTGCCGCTGCGAGGAGGAATCATAGTAGGGGCCCCGCCTGGTCCAGATTGTTTGGACAGATCGAAGTCTGACAGCATAATGTGGCCAGACTGGTGAAGAAGAATATCTACCAAGATACCGTCATTAGCAACGAGCGAACACTGATATCGCATTGGATTTCGGGAAAGAACTCACTTTCTGGTTTCAGATCGCGATAGATGAATCCCATGAGATGGAGGTATTCTAGAGCGGCAGTGACTTCTGCGGCATAGAAACGGGCGGCATCCTCCGATATACACTTTCCTGGGCGAGTTTGAAGTGCTGCGCAGTATGTGATCAGTAATACGCTCTGGGACAATTGCACTGGGTTGCACACCTCGAAAGAATTCACCGCCGCTGCAGTACTCCATACACAAGTAGAGGTAATCCTCAGACTGGAAAGAGTGGTACAGAGTCACAATGAACGGATGGTTGCTCGTAGCAAGAATTTCCTGCTCGGCCAGTGCCCGCTTGATCTTGTTTCTCTTGATCATCTCCTTTTTACTCAATACTATTCAGGTACAATTAGTATGTATTTTCCCAGTAAGTCCAAAGCTATCAATTGGATGGCATCGCATGAACGGCAGAATTGCGGAACTTTACCTTTCATCGCGTACAAACGACTCGTCTTCTTCTCACGAACAAGGTAGACCTTGCCTACATCTCCCTTGCCGATCAACTTGATCTTGTCGAAACTGCTAGGGCCAACCTCCACATTCCGGACCTTAATCGAATTCGAACTATACGTCCTGCGGAAGGCAGCCGAGTTGCGAATCTGACCGGGACTCGGGATCTTGTTGTTCGGGCCCAGTTTGGGTACGGCAAGTGTACTAATGTCACAATCTCCAGAGGCTCCTACCAGGCAAACTTGAGACTGAGTGGCCCCCGATTGTTCGAGTAGAGGCTCTTTACCCATCTCCGCGGTCTGAGGACGTGCATCAGACTGACCTTGCGTGAAAAGGCCCTGTGCATTTGGTGCGGACGCAACCCGGCGAAGCTTCCGCGCTAATTCCTCCTTGTTGGCGGTCGTAGCCTGCTCAGCAGCAGAGACACCATCCACCTGCACTTCAGGGGTGTCTGGAGGGGAGGAGGGGACCGAGCCGTCGTTGCGATGCTGCAGGGAAGGCTGACCCTGGTGTACGAAGTACGGATTGGCAGTAGCAGTAGGAGAGACGCCTTCGTCGAGCGGGTTGCCTTCACTTGCGACGGTGGCTGAGCGATTGCGACCGATAGTAGGTAGGAAACGGGATTGTCTGAATGTCGACTTCGCCTCCGCCTTGGCGCCGGTGGACGGGTTGGCGTCTCGGTCTCGTTCTCGATCGCTGCTGGAATGAGGAGTGACATTGCTGCTGGAACTATTGATGCGGAAGAAATTCTTTATCCTTGTCGGGAGATGGCTCGATTCATTGTGTTTTTTGGAAGCCAGGGATAGACCGGGGAAGTTCCCACGTTTCTCATTCGTCACACCGGACGGACTAGAAGCGAAAAGCTGCGTCATGCCGGTGGATAGCGAAATTGAAGATACCACCGAACGTCTACCTGTACCTTGCTATCGAAAGAGCGAGGAGATCCAAAGATTGTCCGAGTAAGAGAGGAAGATGAAATGCGGCACAGGAGGATAGACGAAGGGCGAGCCGTGTGGGAGGGCGGCCTGCAACGGACTGGAAATCGCAGGGACAACGTTGGCGGTACAGAGTTGTTGGTTGGTTGAAGATGCCCAGGAAACTCGCTTTAGAGGGACGTGCACCCTGGAACAAGAGAGGCCGCGGGGACGATTCGCATGGGTGGGACTGAGATGTTAAAATATCCCTAAATGATAGATAGAAATACGTTTCAAACGAGAGACAACAAAGAATTCTTCTCTTCGATCTACCGAGGAGGATGGGGATGGGACAGAAGGGGACTGAGGGATGAGGAGAGTAGAGAGGGAGAGAGAGAACAAGAAAGAGGGAAGCGGAAGTGGAGACGTGGAGGGATTCCAGGCTTAGTCAAGGCCTTCGAGATGGTGAACTAGCGACCAGACTACCTTCACTACGGGGTATAGATAGCCGGTTTATCGAAGTTTGATGGAAGAATGATAGAAGAGAATCATCTGATAGCTGATACCTCTAATAAGGGTCGGTACAACCACAATGGAGGCGACAATGGAATTATCCAAACTCCAAATATGAGCGATCCACTTGACATATCCAACCATCCAGACATCCACTATCAGTCTATGTATCAAGTACGTACTAACGGTATTCTTCTTCTTGGATGTTGTCGCCACTCAGCCACGGATTCAACCCAATCAAACTCCTCAATGCTGTTCGCCTCTTAGCCACGGATTCAACCCAATTTAGCAAAAGATTAAGTTTACTCATTCCAGTGAACCGTTTGGACTGAGGTAAGATACGTAGATGGACAGGCACACTCTTCGTCACATTGGCCAGATCTTGTCTTTGCTTCACCCTTCTTACGGAAAATAGTGTTGACGGAAAAGAAAACACAACACTATTCCAGTGAGTCCAGGTGACACTGTCATCCAATATTGAAATATCTACCGATCTATTGCCGAAGTTGCCAATCTCGTGTGAGTGTCAAAAGACCGGTACCTACGAGTTTTACGACGGAGTACACTTAGGTATCAGTGCGTCACTGTCGATATGTGGAGTGATTGTACTAGGGAGAAGTCGAGACTCAAGTCACAATACTCTTTGGTGGACCTTCTGCCGTTTGTTACCATGCAAGGAGACCCGGTTTCTCGTCCTTAACAGTGGAGAACCTTTGGGGGCACCAGGACAGCCTAGACCGCATTTCATCAGAGCAGTCTTGGTGATTCTACGTTGGAATGTACAACCAAGTTGCGGAATGTGTACTGACGATGCATTATGAATGAACTGCCTGAAAACTTGAGGATACTCACTGATGACGCAGAACTTGCTTTCGGTTCGGCTTGGGCTTGCGGGAAGCTCCTAATCAACCTAACACACTATCATGTATAAAAAAGTGCTAAACTCCTGCCTGAATACTATGGTGCTAAGTACACAAGACGTCCTGTCGCGAAGTGATGTTACTAGCTTCAAGAGCCGGGACCCCCTTGGGGCTAATCCAATGAGCCTGCTCAAGAAGCCATCCTAAACTATGCAGAAACTGATTATACTATGATCGAAGACCAATTAATCGGAGTCTTACCCCCCGAACACCTGTGGGGTCTATGGCCTGAACAGCCGACTTGGTGATTGCAGATGTACTCGCTTGTTCTCCTGGTAAATACTACAGGCTACAACCCCCATCGCATATGATTGTCAAACTTTTCCCAGCTTTGCGTGCTGGGCCAGGGCCTGCATCTTGTCGTCACCATGACTGATATCGCCCAGAGAGGGTCTGTTTAGCATGCCTTCGACACCAGCGAGGAACGCATGGGCATTCACATTTTGAGACACTGCCAATGCCGTAGTTTTCTGAACAAGCAAGCCGTGATCCTTGTTCAAGTACTGCGTGAGTAGTTGTGGGTTCGCCTGCTTCGCGTTGACAGAGCTCGTTTCTTCGCTCAAATCAGTCATACTAGTCGCTGAAGTAGAAGGACGCGGTCCATATGCGATTGTGCTATGCGACTGTGAACTTTTTGAATGTGACGCACTAGCATTTGAAAGCTGTGCAGTGTGCACCTTGTCTATTGCGGCAACGAGGTTGGGATAGCGTCGACTATTATGGCAACGAGTTCACGTGTCTTAGCTCAACTGTCCCTACTGATATAGGGGAGCCCTTACCTTTCCTGATGCGTTTCCAAATCGTTTCCGCTCTGTTGACCGTGGAGCAAGTCCTCGCCTACCGAACGCTTGCTGGGTTCGTCAGCGATAATATCCTTGAACTAGGCGTGGCAGGCATAGAGAAACGCTTACTCCTCACTACGACCAGTAGCCCATGAATCCGTTGTCGATGTATAGGACGATGATGACTTGCTATCAGCGTCCTCATCTGTCTTGAAAGACATCTCGCCACGCCGAATAGGCGCTCGTTGGATCGGCATTTCAGATGCCCAAGGTCTTCTGAGCCGTGGTACAACCGGCCTGTAAGTCCCGGCGCCTTTGATCAACTCCGTGGACGATTTCCTTTGACGGTAGGACTGGACCTTTGCGTTTTTCTCACTGTAGCTATGGCTGTCTAGCAACGGCGATTGCATTGAGACTCGTGACAGTCCTTGAGCAAGTTCGTTGACGGCATCGACCTTTCGCGTGGCATCCCCAATTATATGCTCTGTACCACGGAGTTCGGAGTATGATGGTTTCGTAAAGGACGTGTAGCCGTCATTGAGGCCTGTTTTTCCTTCTCTCGCCCTACCGTCAACGAGATCTTTAGCTCGTGTATTGACTCTGGCCGACTTCGATCCCGAGTTAGGCTTCCGACAGCGTTGGGATAGCCTAGACGCCATCGAAGTATTCCATCCTGAGGATAAATTTTGAAATTCAAAATAATTGTCCAGAGTTCTCACATTCTGACTGGCCTGCCACTGAAAATACGGGTCCACAGGCTGATCGACCGGGAGAACTGGTGGCAGCGCACTGACCGGTGATAGCATGGAACATCCAGGTATCGCATATTGTGAAGCAGAAGGGGGCATTTCCAGATGGAATTGATTGGCCATCACGTTCTGAGACAGAAAATTGTTCGATTGGGCTGCGACGCCAGCCCCCTTTTCCTTCTGACTCCCAGGTTCGTTTGAGACTCTGAGGGTTGCTTCCAACTGTTCTTTGTACGACCGCACCACATCTAACTCTCGCACCAAACTCTTTCGCTGTTCAACCAAGGACTTCTTCGCGCAGGGATCCATATCCCAAGTATGCATGGCCATGTATCTATCGAGACTCGTAAGCTGAGTTGACAGGGCTGCATAATCGATCGAGATCTGGCTCAGAGATTTGCGCAGCGAGGATTCCAGGAAAGGCCCCATTGAGAACAGTGACTGATTGACAGCTGCCATTTGACCGCCGACTTGATGATATCCCTGTGCTGCATGGTTTGGAACGAACGAGTCCAGAATTGACGAAGATTGGCTGATGGTGGAGTATCCACCGATCATATTGCTGCATGGAGCTATATCGGATGGCGTAACCAGGCCAGAGGACTGCGCCTGCGATGCGGACGACATGAAAGGAATGACATTCGATGCGCTCAAACCTTGCAGAGATGGAGGAAAGGCGAACGGATACCCCGCAAGACCATACATAGCATAATTCTGCAGCGCTGGTGCATGAGGCTCCTGAAATTGTGATTCAAATTGAAAGTATTGTTGGCTCATCAGCGGGAAGGCCGCATTGGGCTGCGAAATCATGGAAGAACCTAGTGCAACCGGCGCTATAGTAGGAATCAACGTCGAAGCCGGAATCCGCGGCTCCGATTTGTCATTCATACTTATACTTGACAATCTCGCGTGCGTCGCCAGTATTCCTTGGGGTTGCGGAGATGACGAGTCGGCACCGGAATGAGGGCAAATATCCTCGGACCATTCTCTCTTGTCTTTGGCCTTGGACATGCCTTTTCCGATTGTCGAAGTAGAGAATGTACCCCGGTCATCTTTGGTTTGGTCAATCGCTGACAGTTTCTTCTGAGGTGCAGAGCCCTGAGAATTCATTGGAACGATTCGACCACCAGCAGTGACACGTTGATGTTTAGGTGACTCGTGCTCCTTGAGAAATCTCGCGAATCCAGCATCAGCTTGAGCCAGAGCTCCTTGCGGAGGATCACTTGGCTGGCGACTAGGGTGGCGTAAACGAGGCCCCGAGGTTGAGTGGGTTCCCTGACTTTGACGCGATCTATTTGACACGTTCCTTGACCCGTTGACTGGACGCTCAGATAAAACACTTCTATCTGCTTTGTGTTGCCGGAACAAGTTATCTGGATGGCATTAAACCGTTAGCATTACCGAGCTTATTGTGCTCGAATGATGACTGCAGAGGCACATACAGCCTAGGGCCTGCGCACTGAATCGACCAAGGTCTATGTGCATATTCTGGCTCATTGCCAGCAAGGTTGGGATGTCATATCTCATTTTCCGTCTTGGGCAAATTGTACTTAGGGGACGTCCAAAGGAAAAGATCAACAAACATGAGACGTGTCAAAACAGTATGGGAAGACAAGATGCGAGAGAGTTCTCCTGTGATGTTGTGATGTCCTTGTTGGGGATTTGCGTCGAAGAAACTCACTCTGGATGTATAATCGGGCGAATCTAGAAGGTGCACTAGACCCTGCCAGGTCAGTGAGCAAGTGCTCTGGTGAGGGAAGGAGCACACTTAGATCATGGATGTGAAGTACTTAGGTTGCATTATTATTAGGTAGGAAATTATCATCTAGATTAGTAGACCTCACATGGCTATTTTATTAGGAATGGCGAGTGCAGCGAACAGCTCAGCTCAACTGGCGCGACAAGGGCCTGGCGATCTATATCAAACATGTTCCCGAGCCTGGACTGGCTTAAGGACGCTGTGAGTATTCCAGGTATCGTCATGTTCGTCTTCG